TTGTCTGTGGCAGGTTTTCAGACAAGAAATGGAAGATGTAAAAGGGTGACCCATTCTTCTCCAGAAAGCATTGTTCTCAGCGGCAGCTCCCATGGGTCCCGAGAGCCCTTCCTTTCTTCTTGCAGTCTGAAACCTTCGAATCTGAACAGTGACCGGCTGATGGCATCCTTCACCATTCTCTTCCTCCTGCTGTTTCTAGGCGTGTATAAGACTCTTCCTAAGCTCTTTATGAAACACCTAACTTTGCGTTAACGTTTTAACATAAGTCCCTGGACTCTGCAGAGCAGTGTTCTTGTTTTTGCTCTTCCTGATAACCCCATGACTGTCCCGGCCCTGGGGCTGGCACTGAACTTCCCACACTTCCTGACGACGCCTGGCTTGATGACTGGTTGAGCTTTTCAACACTCCACCCAGCAGTGTTGGTCAGAGTCAGTTCTGTCCACGTGCCAAGGGGGAGCTAGGAGGGAGACAACATGGAGTTCTGGACTTTGTCAGTGCTGATTTTGTGGACCTGAAGCCTGGAGACTCCTGATGTTGAGCTGGTGGTGATTAAAAGGGTGACTCTGTGGTTCAGTCTTCATATTATGTCCACATCAGTCAGCTTTCCATCACTTCAGTGGAACACAGGAGAAAATTAATTTCATAGGAGAAAATTTCTTTTCCTGCTCCCAGTTTGGAGGTTTCAGTCACGACTGGTTGTCCTCCTTCCCTTCGGCCTGTGGTGAAGCAACACGCCGTGATAGGAACACTTGGTGGAGCGAAACTGCTCACCTCATGGCCAGGAACCAGTTGAGAGTGAGGAGGGTGCTGAGGTCCCATGACCCCTTTCAAAAGCATGGCCTAATGACCCAGTAGCCTCTAGCTAGGCTCTGCTGCCTAACGGTCCTACTGTTTCCTTCTAGGGCCATTTGAGGGGCCAGACTTTAACAGGCAAGCCTTTGCAGGGCACTTGAGAGCCAAACCATTGTACCTGACTTGATTTGTCCTCCAAAACCCATTTAATAACCATGGCGATGAGATTTAATATCCACGATGATGCACAGAGGTAACAGAAACAATCTGTCTATGATGTTTTGAGGTAGGGCCTGCGGGAGGTGACCGGGATTAGAGGAAGTCATTAGTTGGAGCCCTGTGGTGGTTTGAATTAAAATGGCCCCCATATGCCCGTAAGGAGTGGCACTATTAGGAGACAAGCCCTCACAACTGAATATGGCTGGCTTTTAAAGAAGAGATCAGAACACAGACACACACACACACACACACACACACACTCAAACTCCTGGTCTCCTGCCATATGATTCCTTGTACCACTGTGAGACCGAAAGAAAAGATTATCACCAGGTGCAGCCCCTTGACCACGTTGCCTGTGGAAGTGTGAGTCAAAGTGAACCTCCTTCTAGCATTTCTCACCTAGTTGGAGGTGTTGTGTTACTGGGAGAAAACAAAGTAGAAACATACAGTGACCTTGAGCAGAAGAATAGTATGTAGACAGAGACAGCGTAGAGACTGTCCCATGACCAGCCAGGGGGATGGTGCTGCCTTCAAAAGCATTAGCAAGAGCAAGTGCCACCAACAGGCATTCAAACACAGAATGGGCCACTTCACAACCCTCACTATAGGGAGGATCCTGCTTCTGTGCTGGGTACCCAACTCTAGCTGAGGGTTGTCCCACATGGATAGGAATGGCTGATGGCTGGCAGAGTACAGGTATCAGGAAGTTCTGACATAGAGTGAAGATTCTGCTTGAAAGTGGTCCAGAACATGGATTCTGAAGACCATCGGTCAACATTTCATCCCTGCCCCACCACCTGTGACCACAGGCTACTTTTTTTTTATTTAAAAAAACACGTCTTTAGCCCTTAGCGTCTTCATCCATATGATGGCCTTTTAAATAATACCTGCCTCACAGTGATGTTAAGCCATCTCGAGTGCTCAGAACAGTATGTGGCTCATGGTAAGTGCTAAGTGAGAAAAAGACGTCATCACTGCTCCAAGGGAAGACAAGCTGACATAATGATGTACCCTTGGGTAGTAGCCAGGGTGACTACAAGGACATCAGCACTCTGCTGGGGACTCAAACCTGATTCCTGTGGCTATCAGGGAAATGAGAGGTTCATACCAAAATTCCAAGAGCCCATGGCCCCGTGCTGATGTCCTCTCAGGACAGAAGGGCAGGCAGTCTCCTCCTGGAGAACACGGCTTGGCAGATAGCAGGAGTCAGGACAGAGGTGACACAGTGCTTGTCAGCGAACGTGTGCTGGGAGCTGACCGGGCTTGCTGTTGGCTGCATGCCAGACACTCTTGAGGTTGCTCAAAATAGCTGAGGGGTGCCTGAGCAAGGGGTGGAAAGTCCCATGGTAGCAGGAGGTGGCACAGTTAGGCTTATGAATACTGGTCTCTTGGGTGAAAAGGGTTTTGATGACAGATTTGGTTTGAGTCCCAACCCTGTCACCAACTAGACTCTAACTATTGGGAGATCTAGTTCATCTTATTCATTACTGAGTGTAAGGACAGATTAAGTGTATTGACAAATAAGCCTCACATCTTAGAGCCTCAGTTTCCCAGCTGTGTGTAGGGAGGGCATGTAGAGAGGGTGTGTAATGACCTCTAATACAGTCAGGCCCATCAGCATGGGAGCTCCCCAGCGAGTTATGATCACTTTATTTTAAATATTCAATCTATTGGTTCCCATAGAAACTGGGTGCACTTGTTGATGGAAACTGATGGTGTTTTTGTGCCTCTAAGTGTCCTGGTGACGTGAGTAGAGCTGGCTCTGCACCGGCCAAGGATGAGGTCCTTAAGGGAAGCAACATCACCTCTTACAGCTTTCCCTCAACAAGATCAGTGCTTTGCAACACTTACTTTTGATTCAGTGCTTTCTGACAAAGCTCACAACATTCACTATCCAATTGTAGATGAGAAAAATGTTCTGAATCGGATACCAAACACCTGAATAGATCATGATTTGAGGTTGACAAATTGTAACATAAGGAAAGAGACTGATTTGAACCCAAGAACTTAGGGTGTGTTAACGCTACACACACTTTGTGTGTGAACGCATGGTATTTGAACATGCATGTGTTCATGTGCATGTTCATGTGTGTTTGAATGCACAAGGAGGCCAGAGGTTGTTATGAGGTGTCTTTATCTATCACTCCCTGTCTTACTTTTCGAGACAAGATCCCTCTCCATCTCTCTCTGAACCATTTTTGTTAGGCTGGCTGGCCAGCATGTGATCAGGATCCCCCTGTCCCTGTCCCTGACCTGCAGCTCCAGGGTTACAGCCACGCACTGCCATGCATGGCTTTTACTTGGCTGCCGGGGATCTGAACTCAGGTCCACATCCTCGCACAGCAAGTATTTTACTGGTGGAGTCATCCCCCGGCCCTAGCTACATGCTCTCATGATGCCTTTGCTTTCTAGTACATTTCAAGCCCTTTGTTACCACTTCCATTCAGGCAAGCTTTTTAAAAGTTTAAATAATTAAAAAATTATTTCTTTTATTTATGTATTTTATATTTTATAGATTGTTATATCTTACGATTATTAATTTTATGAAATGGTTATCTTTTTTATTTTCACAGTTTTTTTGAAACTGCTATCTTTTTTAAAAGTGTGTGTGTGTGTGTGTGTGTGTGTGTGTGTGTGTGTGTGTGTGTGTGTATGTGTGTGACATGAGTGCAGGTACCCAAAGAAACCAGAAAAGGATGTCAGGTTCCCTGGCGCTGGAATTATGGGTAGTTGTAAACTACCTATCGAAGGTTCTGAGAACTGAACTTATGTCCTCTAGAAAGTTGTCTTCGTAGCCTAAGAAAGCATCAGATAGGAATCTTCTGTGGCTTTTGTGCCCAAGGCAGGCCTCAGAGAGAACTGTCTGTCAGCATCAAACAGCTGCTAAGGAGGTTGGCTTTGGCTTTTCCTGGGTGTCGTCCGTGGTCCTGCTTCCCATGGGCCTATAGCGGGAAGCTGCTCACCTCCTGCAGCTGAAAAACCAAAGGCAGAGGAGAGTCCAGGGTCCCCACACTTCCTTCAAGGATTTGCTCTCAATTACCTAACTTCCTTCTCCTGGACCCACCTCACAAAGAAATCACCAGTAGTGCCACAGACTGCTGACCCCGCCTCTAATAGCAGAGCGTTCGAGGGACACATAGCCAGATTTTGTCACCGAAAACAGCCAATAGGAGGGGCTGGCTCCATGTTTGGTCTCCATTCCTTAGGATGGCCTAGCAAGTCTTCAATGTTGTGTTACTGGTAGTCAGGCAATGAAATGAACCAAACCCGACTTTAAGTATGCATTCATCATCTAGTCACTAATGTCTAGGTGGTCCTGGTGGTGCATGCCTATAATCCCAGCACTTCTGCAATGGAGGGAGAAGGGTCAGGAGCTCAAGATCAGCTTGAGCTGCATTGTAAGTTCAAAGCCTGCCAGGACTCGTTAGGCTAGGTCTCAGGGGGAAGAAAGAAGAAAGAACCCTTTGTTTTTTTTTTCTAGTTTGCAGCTGTTTCCCTCTTCCCGTATGGAGCAAAATGCATGGGATTTGCTGTGGCTAATCAAAATCAAAATAATATTTGGTTAGCTTCTTGGGGTTGAAATTATCCTTTGGACGACTGAAATTGCCTGCTAATTAGCTGTCAGATAAGGATGAATATGCTGAATTTAATTTTTTGAAACGGAGCGAAGCACACACCACATGTACTGCTAATGCCAATGTACTTTAATGTGACTTGATTATGCTTACCATCTCACTCACTGAATCAAAATGTTTACTTGTACCACTGCTGGGTAAAACACTGCTCAGAAGGAGTGTTCAATACCAACACTTTCCCAGCCTGTTTCAAGATCAGAGCGACCTTCCTGTGCTACAGAAAAATATTATTTATTGATGAGGGATACAATTTCATTAAGAACAAGTTGGAGCTACTTAATAAGACCAGTAAAAATGAACCCAGTGACCTGGAGAGCAAAACATCTCAAAATGTGAATCAACCACAGCTAGACGCAAGCTTTTAACCACTTTAATTGGTAGAATTATAATTGGTATGCAATAGGTCTTACAACAAATGTAGATATGACATCATCAAATATCAAAGAAGTTGCACACCTTCCCATCTCTCAACAGTGTCAGCTAACTTACTCCAAGAGAGAAATGTGGCAACGAGCCAATGTCAACTAACATTTCCGAGATCAAAGTTGAAATGGTACATCCATTTGCCCTCAAAAGAAGGTTAAAGGCAAAGGTGAATCGACGTGCAAATTAGCATCTGGACCATTCACAAATTTTCAAGATGCATAGGATCGAACCATGCACCCTTGCAAGCAAGATGAAGCACAAACAGATCACATTAGACCATACTCTACTCCTCCGAGACCCCAGGGCGTGAAGGTCAGAGGTCTTCTGCTATCAGTGCTCAGGCATCCACTGTGTGTCACCCTAACCTGGATCCTGATGCACGTCTGTGAGACCTGTGTCCTGGGCCACCTTTTCAGTCAGAAGGGAGATCATTCTGTTCTCCCAGAACAGTTAACCCTGCATCAGTCAGGTGCATGGGAGGGAAGTTCAGAGCTCTGATAGCTGTCTGATGTGGCTATGATATTAACTGTCATTTTACAGAATAAGTAAAAACAACACACCAATATAATAGCAAATAATAAACTGAGATCACTTATATATATATATCTATATAATACTTGAAATGTCCATAAATAGTTTTTCTCCAGAAACTGAAAACACTGTAGACACAATTTCATAAATCCTCACAGAATGTCTGTGAGGTAGGAAGGGCTGAGGCCCCTATGAAAGCATCACCCCCATTTTATAAATGAAGACACAGCTGTGTAAGGAGGACAAGGGGTGCCTACCAGGGCCACAGGAAAGGAAAGCGGAGTTGCGTACCATCCTCTGATCATGTGCAGTCCATTGAGAAGGGGCTCCTAGCTTGCTTTCTGCTCTGACTTCTTCTCCAAAACATTACAGCCAGGCCTATCCACGATGGGATGTGACTGTTTAAATCTACTAGGGCCACTAACTTCCCTTGTGTAGACTTGAACTAACTCTCCCTGAGGTAAAGGACATCAATTATCGGCATGTATATCAGAGGGGTGCGTGCATGCGTGCATGTGTGTGTGTGTGTGTGTGTGTGTGTGTGTGTGTGTGTGTGTGTGTGTGTAGCAACATTTGTAGAATAAAGATGCTGAAATCTCTTGGCCAAATCAACAGAGGAGAAATATATTTGGCCAAGTAAGTTCTCACATGTACACATTTTATACTAACAAGCACAGCAAGGGTCGTTCTTGAGTTTTGGGGGGGGGCTGTCACCTTTGGTGGATATGGCTACCCTGTGTTTTGCTGGAAGCAATTGGAAATTAAGCAGAGCAAAAGCAATCACATGTTCGTGCACAATGGCATCTTTTGGTGTGAAAATCTTCTTGCTGTGCCCTTGGTTTCTAACAGGTGAGGGTTCTTGGGAGGAAGCTGGTTCCTCTGGCCTAGAACTGACCCCAGAAGTGATATCTGAAATACATTCTCCTAAAGTGTTTCATGGAGAGCTTTGTGTCATGGGTCAAAAATGTTTTTGGCTGGTGGAGGAAAATGAGATGTAGAATGCCCTGTTTGTACTGGCTTGTCTTTTGCCTAACTGGAGACCCGTGAAGGGGTCAGGGTAGTAACAAGAGATAGTTGTTTAGGTCAAGCATGGCCAGAGGGCATACCCTTGCAGTTTTTGTGAGGAGGTCCATTTGTGTGTGTGTGTGTGTGTGTGTGTGTGTGTGTGTGTGTGTGTGTGTGTGTCTGGTGGTTCATATTCAGGAATATCTTAATTTCTGCAAACCCACTCCTTGCTACCCACTCTGCTTACAGACTACTTCTGATGATTGTGCTTTCCTTTTGGCACCTCTGAGATTTAGGAAGAACTTCCCTCAGAGTCTGGATGGCAGGTTGTGGGAAGTCCCCTACCTGTGGTCTCCACACTAGAGGGGTTCAGGATAGCACTAGAGAGTGTTTTCTTCAGCAAAGTCACGGGGCAGGGTCTGTCCAAGGAGTTAACTGACGGTTTCTTCTCTGTGACATGATAGGACGATGTAACGTATTTTAAGATGTATGCTTCCTACTACATGAAATCAGGACATGAGACGCTGGGTGCCAATATCAGGTGCTGCAGAAGGACAGCGGTGTAGCCCTGTAATAAAGCTCTCTAGAAACACAAACAAATATAAGGCAATCGCACATGCCAGGAATCAACCTATCAGTCAACAAACTAAACACTTTGGAGAAAAAAAAATTGATGTTTCACTTTGCTGAAAATGAAAGGGTTTTACTGATGTGTGAGTGTCTTTCTACATCACAAGGACATCACAATAAATCTCAGTCTCAGTGTCAGCCTTTGATGTTTCGAACTAGGAGGCTCTTTGTGGTGGCAGGTTGTCTTGGGTAAAGTGGAGGGTTTAGCAGTATCCAGGGTCTCTACCCCTTAGAGACCCCTTGCTCCCAGATAAGTAGTAGCAGTCAAAAATTGCCACTAGACATTTTCAAATGTCCGTGGGAGAAGAAGACAAAACCACTTCCTAATGGGTAATATGTGAAATAAATGGATGTCGGTCAAGAAAAAAGACTGTTCCTCAAAATTAGTTGTACAGGATTTTGAGATCGGAGACCCAGAGGTGTTCATGTGTCTCCTTCCTATGGAAGATTAACTGCCTCTTTTAACATTTTTTAAATAGCATATAGCCATTACCCAATATAGACAGTAAGGCAGTGACCCATTGCTCTAAGGGCTCCTCTAAGATTTAGATATCTCCCACTACTCTGGAGAGCTGGCTCCGACTTGCTGGCTTCAAGAGGGTCCATGTGAGCTTTTGTCTCTCCCTCCTTCCCTCACCCTGAGACTCCACATGCCTCTCCCTTTCCATTCTGCAAGCTCCCTTCCCAGCTTCTGTCTCTTTTGGAACTGTATTGTAACTTTTCTGAAAGCCAGTGGGCGGGGATTCCCCTTGCCTTCCGGTGGCCTGGATGGGGATTGACAGCAGCCTGCGATGCTACTTTGCTCTGGCCTGCTGCTCTCCTCCTGGGCACAGCCCTCTTTGATCTTTCCTTAATTAGGCAGCTAAGAGTTGTCTCTCTGCTTGTAGGACCAAGTAGGCGTCCTGTCAGATACAGCCAGGCAAACAGCCAGGGATTACAAAGAAATCAAGAACCCCTTGCTTCCCCCACACAGGGTGATAGCCTCCAGGGACACATTCCTTTCCTCCCCACTGATAGATTCTTCACGTAATTGCCTCTAGAGAAGTTTAAGAAATAACCCAAACCAAAAGTTCCCCTAAAATTAAATCCCCAACAAGGCAACCCGAGCCCTTTTCCTCAAATCCTTCCAAAATGGGTCCTGTGGTGGGGGCTGCAGCCTCCACCTCATGGTGTCTGGCCTGGTCAGTGCAGAGATGGCCATGTCAGCTGCAAATCGGCCTCCACTGGCCTTTACAAAATGGTTCTTTTGTACCAGTAGGGGGATGTGGTAGTAGCAGCCAGAGGAGAGAGAGGAAAAAAACAAAACAAAACAAAAAACAACCATACCAACAAAACAGGGCTTGCGATTGTCGTTCAATGAGCATCAGGTACTTGTTATTAATTCTACTGGATAAGCACTTATAAATAAAGGACAGCTATTTCTTGTCCCCAGCCACCTTCCTTTGTTAGGAGTCGTCATAGAGTGGGTTGTTGTAGTTCCCCCAAGACCCGTAGTCATGGTCATCCAGCAGCCTTCCGTAGGAGGAATGCCTGTGTGGGAAGAAGAAGGAGAGGTTACTTGTAGCTGTGCCATCTGAGGACAAGTTAATACCCTGTAGCCTGAACCTAGGAGGCTCAGAGGTCCGTGGAAAAAGCATGACACAGTCCGGCAGGGTAACCTTGGACTACGTTGGCCTCAGTTATCAACATCCGCCTAGGAGCTGGCCTGGCCCTTTCTGCTGAGATCTGCTGAGTCTTTTTCTCCTTCACCTCCAGTGCAGGAGGAGGGAGCAGGGGCTCCATTTCCACAGCTGCCCAGTAAGAAAGGGAGGGAAGGGAAGGGAAGCTTGGGGCCCGGCATCTTGATGTACGTCCCGGGGCAAATTTTCCCTAACGTAATATCCACACAACCACAGACACTATTGCTGCCACCATGGCTCTTGGTGTTTTATTGCCATTTATAAAGCATGTCTATACTCAGTTTTTAGTAGATCCTCAACATCAAGACTGGGAGAAAGAAGTGTTTCTCTGATGAGGAAAATGGCCTCCAGGAAGTGTGACTGATATGCCCCAAACCATCCAGCTGAGCTGTGTGTCAAATCCCCACCTCGATCTAAAAATGGAGCCACCAGAGTTCAGGTCCCCCTGAGTCTGATTACCCTTTAGTCCAATGGCAACATGGCCTAACAAAGCTGTGCTGGCAGCCTAGGAGGCTGTAACACATCTATGATTTCTGTAAGAAAATGAAATCAGATTGCTATCACTTTGTTGAAGACCGCTGAACGGTTGCTCATGTAAGTGTATAAGCCAAAGTCTTTAGAGTGGTTCCCAAAGTCACAAAGGCTCTGGACCTTCTACTTTTCCGAGAAAATTAATTGCTACCAAAGACCCTACTCTCTCAAATGTACCACTTTTTTTTTTTCTGTCTCCCATGCCCAGCTCCGTTGCCTCAGGGCCTTTGCACTTGCTGTTTCCTAGCTCACATATCTTCCAAAATACTACATGACTCCTATAATTGCTTTATCATTACTTCTCTTCTTCAACTAGACCATATGTTTCATGAGGGTAGACATAATTTGCCTGTTATGTTTAGTCATGGTTCTATTTCTAGCTTCTAGAATATTCGGCACACAGGAAGTCAGCCATAATTGTCTGTGGAAGACACAGGAACTGAAAAAGACACATCTTGATTTCTCACACAAAGTGAATCTGTTCACAAAGATGGGCACTTCCCTGGGAATGGCATGGCCATTTAGAGACTGAAATGAGTGATGGGATTAAAGAACAGCATTAGCAAGCACGCGGTGCCTTTGAGGTTCGTGCTAGCATGTGGATATGTGGATTCTTACATGTGTCAGGGCCTCCCACAACGCCAATGCAAAATCAGAGCCTGGGCAGACTGCACTCTTTGCTGGGCCAGTGTGACAGTCACACTCTGCCAAGCTGAGGGACAAGAGCTGAATTTAGATCCAGGGGGCTGAGATCGGACTGGAAATCATGGATGCTAAATACAGTGCAGAAGACCATGCCTGGTCCACACAGTCTTCTCTCAGCCAGAGGGGAATAGTCAGCAAAAGAGAAACAAACCTGAGGGACACAAAAGACTTTATTTGCTCCACTTCCTTCAGCTCCTAAAACAATTGCTCTTTCCTCCTGCAGCTTACTGACATCAGCCAGGGGTTGGCAAAGAGATGACATTTTGCCAGAATCAGGCCCTTGCTCTACTCACTCAGAGTTGCAGTATAGCTCCAGCAAGCTGACTCAGTGGACCCTATCTCTATTCCCAGAAACTTGAAAATGCCCCACAAAAGAATCTGTTGACACTGTCATCCCACAATCACGTGTGTGTGTGGGTGTGGGTGTGAGAAAGAGAGAGAACACAAGTAGCAACCTAGACACATTACTGTCTTTTCAATATATCGGAAGAGCAGAGGCCAGTTTGGTAGGTGAAGATCATGAGCTAGCCATGGCCAACCCTCCACTTACTTAAAACCCCCTGTTCCAACCAACCACTAGTAGGATGAGTGAGAAATGGAGCTGCCCCACGAGAAGATAAAACCCCAGGCATTAGAACACCAGAGTCCACCCTCTATTTCAGCATGGCTTTGCTGCTGTGAGTTTGGCAAACATGTTCCTAATAACCCCACACCTTCAGCAATGGGGAGCCCCTGTTTCCCCTCGAAGGTAATTTAACTTCTTGTGGCACTTGAATCTCTTTGATATAATTTTATTCTCATAAACTGTCCATTTGGTCAAGAGATGTATGGCCTGAGTAGGTTTTGACCCCCTTGTCCCTTCACTTCTAAAATGGAGAGTTAAAAAAAGGCATTCAAGTTGTCAGAAGGATTCATGGAGGTAATGCATTTTAAAGGCTTGGCACACAATAAATATTGGCCAGTGCTGCTTTGTAACTTTTATTATAATGAAACTCATACAAGCCCATGCAAAATCTGCAAACAGTGAACCAGAGCGCTGAAGTGCTGGAGTCATGCTCCAGGCAAAGTAATAAACCCGGTTTCTGATATTATTGTCATTGGAATGTTCTAAAATATTACTATGGCAAAGTGAGGTCAAAGGATTAAGACTCCTCTGACCACCAGGTTTTGCAGGCTGTGGTTAATTTGGGCACTTGGGTCAATGCTACCCCTGAGTTTGCTGTTTCGAAGGAGGTGTCTACTGTGCAGACACGAGGAGATGAGGAGAAGCACCAGTCTTGCCTTTCACCTTTCTTCACCTTTCCATTTGAGCAGTGAGTGATGCTGAGTGGGGAAAGATGTGCAAGGGATATGGAGAAACCAGAATGGGGGGCATAAAGAGAGAAAAATGAGACATGCATTGAAGCCACAGGGTTTGCTCTGAACGCTTGCATTCAGGGGCTGGACCAAGAGTTGGATACGCTGGGGTTCAAGCTGGCCTTGGGTAGATCTGATGATTTTGTGGACAGAAGCACAGCTGTGGGTATGAGATAAGGGGGGAAGAGTTAGAGAGCATTTAAACCCTTCTTTCTGGGCCAGGACTTCTTATGCCATGGCACATCTTGATTAAACATGGGGAGCTTTCCAGATGGGCACGTGCAAGCAGACGCTAAGAAGTAAAGGAGGAAACATCCTCCTACTGTGACATCAGGGAGGCAGGACTCCAGGGATTTAGATGGCCCTGCCAATATTATTTAATGGGAGACCCAATAACAAAACCTCCTCTTGACTCTGTAGGACAACATTCTTTATCTAACTTCCATCTGAAGAGCGGTGGGTCTGAGTGACGTTATTGCTGGGTAAAGGCAATTTTGTTGATGTGATTTCTCAGTACAGATTGGTACCTGCCCCGTGTTTTCCATTTGTTGTGAATTGGCTCCTCTTAAATGCACCATCTGTAACTATCTGTAATAATGTGTTAACTTAATGTGTTGAGCTTGGTGCTAGGGTTATAGCATAAATATTTGAAGGTGACAGTTTACATCTAGTAGCATAGAAATTGTGCAGATGTTAACTCGGTCAATACTAGAGACGGTTCTTACGGCTTGTGGCAGTGTTATACGAAGTTGGCACAGTGGGGGAAAAATCTCAATAAAGAATGCTGGAGGTTAAAGGGTTCATTTGACTTAAAGGGAGGAAGGAGGAGGAGAATTACAGCCAGGCCCCAGAGCATGTTGTGACTTTACAGCACTTAGCTCAGTACCCACTGTGCTCCGACCGATGGCCCTGCTCTTCTCGTCTGCACTCCTCCTGCACCTGAGGCGGAAACTATGAACATGTCTCTTATTTTATCTTCTTGTCCTTACTTTATTGTCCTCGACAATGAGTGCGGGGTTTCCCTTTCTTTGAATTTAAACAGAACGTATTTTAGAAAACACCTGCTGTGTTTCCAAGGGTACATCCCGGCTCTTGGCAAAGTCTCCACCTGTGTTGATGAATACATATACACCCCAAGTCCTCTCTTTTGGCAGGGGAGACCCGCTTTCAATCATTAGTGCTTATCATGAGCTAAGCAGGAAGGAAACACAGACATTAAGACAGGACTTGGTTCGGGGGAAATGCTGCGGTCATTAGTCATTAGTAATGAAGCGTCAGACTCTGACTTCCATTAGCAAAGATGTCCGGTGCAGCTGTCCCCGTCTCCTCTGTCCCTGTACACCAGTGGCTCCTTGTTTCTGACTGTTACATCCCTGCCTGGCTCCTTTCATTGAACTGTTCATTGAAAACTTAGTTTTAGGGAACCTGTTTTGGAAACTTAGGGACACCATGACCAGTGAAATACACTTAAATACCTGTCCTTAGGGACCTTACATTCTGAGATGGGGGCATAATAGATATGTTACAAATAATTATGAGGTAGGTGGTGATAAGTTTGGGGGGGAAAAAGCAAAGAATGAGGAATTCCCAGCGGGAGGTGGGGATTGACATTTGGAACGGTGCCCAGAGAAGGTCTCAAGAAGGCATCATTTGAGCAGACGCCCGAGGAGATGAGGGATGAGTCCTGTGGATGTCTGAAATACATTAAAGACAGAGGTGGGAAAGAGGACAAAGGTCTTGGGGACAGGAACACACAACCCATCTGTGTTGCATCTACCAGGTCCCTAGTAAAAATCAAATCAAATTTTCGTATTGAATGTTTCAATTCACGGCAAAATTGTAGGCAGCAGAGACAGTGGTGTCCATCAGTCCTTCACACAGCATCATCTAAGGTTAGAGGTTTGTATAACTATCTGTCCAAGGTAGGACATTAGTGCTCTGGGGCACGGTCTTAAAGCTAAGAAAACTGAGCCAACAGAAGCCAGGCCTAGTCAGCCACAGTTACTACATCAAGTTAGTGGCTGAGTATCACAACTGAGGGTCTTATCAGTGCAGCCTCTTTCCGCCAAAATCTCAACGATGGGCACATTTCCAAACACTGTTTTCAAAATCTCCTTTCATAGTCTGTTTTTTTTCAAAGCTATTATTTTCAAACATGTCTTTCAATAACCAATCACCTTCACACTTTCACATTTACTTCTTCCATTTTTTCCAGTTCGTTATCTGTGTGTTCGTTATATGTGTGTCTCTGTGGGACACCATACCACTGCCAGACCATCACCACAGGTGAGGGCTGGAGGCCTTGCCTCTGTCAACAGATCCAGCATGGAGTGGTGATCAGTGAAAGTCCGTGTGTCTTAACAGACACAAGTGGCTCCCACTTCCTCACCCCTGCACCCCTACAGGTGAACCAGTCTCTAAGACCAAATTTAGTCCCTTACAGTTGGTTGTACTCTAATGTTCTCATGTTGTACTTGGATGGGGGTGGGGTTGGGGGCAGAGGCTTTCTATGGCTCCAGTGGAAGAGGCTGGGACACATCATTACTTCCTGGGAAGTAAGTGGAAGACAGCAGGAAGGTACATCCAGGAACTCAGTATGGAGAGGGTGAGTAGGCAGATCCAAGAGTAGGCCTACTTAGAGCCAGACACTTGGGAATTAAAAAACTGGATGAACCAAACACCTCTTAGTTTGTTCAAAGTCACAGAGGCATGAAGGGACAGGGCTGTCCATCTGGGGGACCTCCACGGCACAGTGTCTCTTACAAGTGTCAGGATATAAGGATAAAGCAGAATTATTCAAACTATGGTTCTTGGACCATCAGCTTTGGTATCTTCGCTGAGCTAGCTAGAAATGCAGATGTAAGGACCCCATCCAGACCTACCAAATCAGAATCAGGATCAGAATGACTGGAAATGGTTTGGAATATGCCCCCACCCCCACTGGCAATTTTATTCAGCGGATCCCAGAAAGTCACGGAGGTGGGAATCAAATAAGCTAGACATCCAGAACTCCAGAAGCTAATCTGAAAATATTCAGCATGTGAACAACAAATTCTAAAAGACCCTGGCCTTCACAGCTGGCCGGGGCTAGTCATTAAACCCAAGAACAAGCAGAAACCATCTGCAGCCACCATGAGACACAGAGCAGGACAGCTAACCTCTAACGAAAACGTCTGAAGAGCCCAGCCCTGTGGAGTCTAAACTTCAAGATCACATGTATTTTTGTGAAGGGTTGCCAGCACACCTAATCATGGCTCCATCCACTTCTGCAGATGTGGGCTCTTGTGTGGGAAGATTATCTCCTAGCTGAGCAGATTGGAGCAATTTACACAAAACAGAACTGACTTACACCACACTTCAATCATCACTAATTAAAGACACCATTCTGCAAGAGGTGGGGAGGGCTTTTGCTTCCCATTAAATTTGCAAATGAGCTTCGGAGTAGAGGCTGCCCGAGACTGTTTCTGCTTATGAATGTCTAACACAGATGCAACCTCACTGACGAACAGCATCACAAGAAGGCTGCCACACAACACACCGCCACACTAGTCAGCTGCCTCATCACCCTCTTCTCCCCCCTCTTCTCTTTCTCCTGTGAATCCTTTGTGTCCATCAGTGGGAATGCCAAGGACATAGTCACTCTTCCAGCCTCATGTTGGAACCCACCATCTCACCGAGCATCACATGACATACCCAGTTCTGAGAAAGATGGATGTCACAGTATTTGGCCTTCCCCAGCAGGTCCCCTCAACCTCCCCACAGAACATGTACATGTATCCCAATTTAATCCTCCAACACTCTGGAGTTAAGTGTTTTATTACAGTCCCATTTTCTACAAAGGAAGACAGTATAGACCAATTGAAGACACTTCTGCATAGGTCCTGTGTCTACTCCCATGCTGTGGTCTCTTTGGGCACTTGACACTCATCATTTTATCCTCAAACCAAGCTTGACAGCCACAGTAAGAAGGCCAGTATGGTGCTGGATGTGAATGCAGCGCTCCTGATCCGCCCTCTCACATGAAACTGCTGCTGGTCAAGATGAGTCCATAACAAGAGAGTGCTAAGAAGTTCAGGCAGGTCAATTTTATAAGCCACATCCCACGATGGCTCAGGTTATTAAAAGACACAGTTCTCCAGGCAGGAGACACTGTGATGAGCCTGGAGGTCATAGCCACTGGAGAACGGAAGTGTGAAAACCGCTGGCTAATGAGTTTACCGAGGACGTTGGAGCAAAGGAGCACTTGGAGAGGTAAAGGCACGGAGCCCTGTCAGCAGAGCTTGCAAGGTGCACTGTGTGTGGGAGGTGAGGTGGCCTTTTCCAGCGGCTTTGCACTCACAGGGACATTGGTTGTGCCAGGGCTGAAGCCTGTAGGTACAGGCCATAAGCTAACAGCTCCCTTATGACCTGGGATTTCAGTTAATAGCCACGTGATAAGAGTCCACCAGATAAGAGAATACTGATGTGCTATTGTTCTTAGAAATATGAACTGATAGAAGCAAAACAAAGTTCTAGGCTAGATGAAGCCTAATGTTACACACATGCATGTACACATACACACACACACATACACACACACACACACACACACACACACACACACACACACACACACACACACACGGAGGGGCAGACATCAATGGAGCTGACTGTATTTTTGATGAAGGATCAATTAGAAGTATTTTCCATGAATCTGGCAAGGTAACACCTGAAGGGGTTTTAGTGTGGCCCAAGACTCATGAAAACAATTAACCTATTTATATCACCATTTCCCCCCATAAATGTAATGGAGCAGTAGAAAGGGGTTTTCCTTAGGGGTTTTCTAGTGCATGGGTGCGACTAACTTGTCCTTAAGTGCCAAACATGGGTAGATTAACATGTAAGTATCACCCTTATGCTCACACAGGATAGTTCTGCAGAATATCACCACTGGTGATTTGAAAAATGATTATAATTTATCTATAAGTTCCTTTGGCTGGGGCAGGGATGTATTTTTAGCATACTCTTTGTTACAAAGTAACAACGAAGCTACTTAACTCATAAACACAGGATATCTACAGCAGTAAACCAGAAGTTAAACTAGAGTGGAGAGTCCCACTCACACCACGTGATTTATAAAATTATGTCTGATGTTCAAAGAAATTCAGACTTGATGAAGACAGAGGTTTTTGTTTATAAATCCGAAGGAAATGTCTGTTTCTACAAAGGCTTTTGGACTTGAGTGACTCAGACTTTTGTTTCCATTTTTCCTCGAGAACTGTCCTTTTCTGTCTTTGTACCCTAGATGGAGGTGATGCTCCGAAGCCCTCTCATTCTCGATACCATTATTAGGTTGATGTGATATCACGTGATAACCAAAGATGGGGTACATAAGGGAAGGAGGAGGGGTGCATTCCCCGGTGGGTGCTGGGCTGGGGTGACCACAGGAGATAAGGGGACTCATCCTTCAAGGGAACAGGCACAGGGGGATGAGGTGGGGGCAACAGATGCTCTGTGAGAAAGGAACACAGCTTTGATGAACAGAAGTAAGATAGGAATGTGTGTGTGTGTGTGTGTATATCTAATATATGTGTGTGTATTTGTGTATGTGTATGTGTGTGTCTGTGTCTAATGTATGAATGTATGTGTGTGTGTGTGTTTGCATGGTGTGTGTGTATCTGATGTGTGTGTGTCTGCGTCTGATCTGTGTATATATGTGTATATGGTGTATGTGTGTGTGTATTCGTGTATGTATGTGTGTGTTTGCATGGTGTGTGTATGTGTGTGTGTATTTGATGTGTGTATGTCTGTGTCTGATCTGTGTAGATATGTGTATATGGTGTATGTGTGTGTGTGTGTGTGCACACAGTGCCATGTGATGTACTCTGACCTTTGTCACTTACTTTACCGAGTGTCACCTCTATGACTATTACTGAGCTTATACATGAGAGCTCGGCTCATGAAGCAAACAAATACATGGAAAATATAATAATAAACATTGATAGCGTCGGGGATGAAAGTAGTAAAGAGCAAAAAGGATGGCTGACGGACCCGAAACTGGAAAAGAAATCTTCATGAGGAAAGAGATGCATGTTCACAGACAACGCACAGGGTAGAGCATCAAACACAGCAGTAAGGGTGGGGGTGCATGGGAGACCAAGGGCCTGGGCGGGGGGCGGGGTTGGCATGCTCTGAGAACTGAAGGGGAGCCTGAGTCTGGACCGAGATGCAGAGGGCAAGAACCAGGATGGGGTGATGGGGTTGGAGGAATTTCCAAAGAGATGGTACCAGCTGCTAGATCGCCAGTGCACTGGAGGTCAAGGAGGCCATGTTCATCATGGCAGAACACGCCCATCCTTCCTTTGTTACTGCACAGTACAGGCTGGTGAAGAAGACAGGCCACGTCCCATCTGTATTTACAGCTGGAAGGACGGACACTCGGTGTGAGTAAGGTGGCTTTGAGGGCTTTTGGATTTTACAGAGTGACAGGAAGCAAGGACAGGGCTTCAAAGAGTATTGTAACTCTCTGTCTGGCTAAGGAACACAAAATTTCAGCTACCCTCTGTGTTCACCTTCATTTTATAGGAGAAAGTGTTTTCAAAGCTAACAGTATAGGGACATAATTGGGTGCCGAAGCCCAGTTTTCTAGAAAATCCTACATTTTCCTTTTAGTTTTCACATATTTGGTTAGAACTAGTAAACACGCCTTGAATAGATTGATTGCCAACCAACTGATGAGTGTACAGAACATCAGGAATTTAGGAACCACTGATTCTGCCCTTTGCCCCAGCCCACAGATGAGGAAGCCTTAATTCGCAGAGGTGTGTGGCTTCCCCAGAGCAATGAAGTGATTTCAGGGCAGAGGTGCCCACAGAGGGACTCTAGGTAAACCTTGTCCTATGACACCATCATGCCATATACTCGGTGTTTTCTTCTACAAACTGTCTGCCCTGTCTAGTGTGGGGTTAGTTTATTGGCCACAGTCACTTCCCTGCCAGTATTTCTGAGGGATGAGATGCCCATCACAAAACAAGCCCGTGGCAGAACAGCCTTCAGCCTGGAGCCTCACAAGTGGAGTCTTGTTCTTGTCAGGGAGGAAGGAGTGTCTCACCTGATCTTTAGGTATGCCGCAGCTCCGAACACCAACAACACCACGGCAATGACGGTCACGGTGATGGCGGCGATACTGCCTGTAAAGGAGGAAAGGCCCAGAAAAGACCGTGAGGGAGCTAGTTCGGTGGTCTTCGCGTACACAGTACCTAACCTTGTCTCCTCTGGAAGAGGAAAATGCTATTTACCTCGGACCATTCTGATGGAAGTTAGAACCAGAACAAAAGCCAGGACTTCAATTCTGTTATTGAACTTAAGAAAAAAAAAAATACAAAGTGAGGTTCAGTAAGTGGTTGATATTTCTTATGGCATTTATCATGACGTGTTGGATACTCTGGAACATGAAGGGCCGACCATTCATATCTCATGACAGTAATATCTCACGGTCCTTTGAAGAATGATGGCGGTCAGTCGGCAGCACTGTTATCTGCAGGGGAAGAAGATTTTAAGCTTCCCAATGTCTTCCTTTTCCTGTTTGGTTGGGTCCCCTGTGACATATTGGGGGAAAGGTGTCCTATTCAAGTGCCACTATGAAGTGATGCCGCTGAATTTTTAATAAACTGGAACCAGACAGCTGTTTCAGTAGTGTCCACTTCAAAGGGGTCACTTTGGTAAGGAGATGTGCAAATTTCATGGATGTCATCAGATCAAAGCATTGGAAAAACAGTACTTCTCTTTGGGCAGTACGGCCAGCTTCCATACTTAAACAGTAAATTTGGATTCTAGAGAATGAAGTCAAGTTTGGTTTGCAGAACAAAGTCAATTGTTTAGGTAACACTTTTTATTGTCATTGATGTAGCAACATTGTTATAAAGGAACACAAATGCTTCATGCTGTAGCTTGAACTTTGGTTCCTAAAGCAGTATAAATGGGAAGGTAAATAGACGGACAGACCAACCCTTTAGGCATGTGACCATATAAAAATAACCGTCCTGCCTCTGAATATATCTTTGGAGTACAGCACTCTTTCTGTATAAGTTTTGGGCTAATAATTTATATACTTTTCTTTTATTCTACCTTAGAAGTGTTAATGATCAATTAGACTCTTGTCCCGAAATATTTCATAAGACTTTTGGGGTAACATACCTGTTTACTCTTTCAGTACACCACTTACCGCTTTAACAAGTGAATGGAGCTGTACTTAAATGCCTGGGGAAAAGCTGAGAGATCTGGAGTGAAATATGTAGATCTGCGAGCATATGTGTGTGTGTGTGCATAAGCGTGCATGGCATGCGTGAGTAATCATGATTGGCTGTATGACCAGGAGCTATTTAGTCAACTAGGTTGGTTTATATGTTCTACTCACCTCACAATGATTTTAACACAGGTAAATGAGATGTCACACACACCAATCTGAAGAATTGTTCAATGCATGATCCCAGACCATTTCCTATCTCTTGCACATGAATCTTCCCCCACATTCTTAAAGATTTATCGATTGTAAATTATTTGGCATCTCCTTTATTTCCACCTTCCTTCCATGAATGGCTTGTGCTTATTGTTTCTCCCATTATCCTTCTACCAGAAGAAGCAGGGCATAGTCAAGAAGCAAAGCTTTTTCCTAACTCTTCAGCAATTCCCCTGAAGTTTTAGGTGAAAGGCTACATCAGGCGTCTGCATTCCCAGTGGTTACAGGAGAGAGCCAGGGGTCATTCCTAACATGAAGACAACGCAAAGAGCTTGGTGTTTCCACGGAGACTGGCTATATCAACCATTTCAGAGCCTGCATATTCCAGGACAACTCGCATGTCCATCTCTTTGCTTTTAGAAGGCTTTTGAGCCAGATGAGTGTAATCATCGGTGTGGTTTATCTCTCCCTTTTTACGGCATTCAGTAGATCATGGTGCCATTGCTGAAATGTACAGATCTGGTCAAGTGGAGAAAGCCCGAGGTCAGATCCTCTTATGAAAAATCTCCACTCCTGTTTTGAAAGGCAGCTCTTAGCTTCTTGGCCCCCAAACTGTGCTGAAATCAGAACAATTCAAAGTTCACGGGAGCCTCTTAAAAGCTCTGCTGTGAGCTTTCAAAGGGAGGGCTGTAACCGCAAGGTAAGCTGAGGGGGGCATTTGACAATTAAAAAAGATGCAGTCATTGCAAATAGGAGCAGTTGAAAAAACTGACCTTTATTTTACCCCCCTCCAAAAAAAGAAGGGAAAGGGATATAGCTGGCTCCCCTGAAAGACTCTTAAAGCACCCTAAGGATGGTTTACTGCAGGATGTTGTAGGTTTGACCTTCTTCGGGGTCTTCCCTAACTCTAAGCAGCTGGACCTCCTCCAGTCCCTCCATTTACCCTGTTTATTTATATACCACCTCCTTTTCAAATAAATCAGGCAGTTCCCCTAACTCAAGTGCTGTTCTTTTTTGTGTGGAGACAGCAAGTGACAGAGTGTCCTGCTTCTTCTCCACATCACCGTGGCCATCTAGCTCCACCCTTCTATGGCCACAGGTGACGTCATTCTTGTTACCAGAGATGGAGGTTACAGGTGACATTTTACCTGGTTGTCTCCTGGGGGATGCTGGGTAAAGTGTCCTTTAGAGAGTTGGTTCTACCAATATGAAGCAAAGGGTATAAAGTAAAACGGTTTGTGCTGAAGTTTGGGACCTTTTCATGAGCAATTCTGTTACCCACTGGCTGTTTGAAGGGAGTGGTACACCATCCCCACCCCATCCCCACAGGAGTTAGAGTCTTCTGGAAGGAGATCTTTATTATCCTGAGCCCAGAAGATTCTGTCTTCTGAGTCTTCCCTCAGCAGCTGTGTCTGTCCTGGGAAGACCCATGTGGAGGGCTCGGTGGTGTGTGTGTGTGTGTGTGTGTGTGTGTGTGTGTGTGTGTGTGTGTGAGAGAGAGAGAGAGAGAGAGAGAGAGAGAGAGAGAGAGAGAGAGCTGCTAAGCTCCTGTGAGTACTGCTTTCTGTGGCAACTGAAAAGGCTTTGTTTTATTTTTTCTTTCCTTGTGCAAACAAATGCTGTTCCCCCAACTTTTGTTTAAACTAACCTGGAATTCCCCTTGTCATCTTATTCTCCCTTTTTTTTTTTTCAAGATGGGACAGGGAGAAGAACTAGGAGGCAGATTTGGTTGTGGGGACAGCTTTGCCAACAAGAAATATACAGGCCCTTGTGGGCCGTGTGCTGGGAAGGGGTGTGGGCAAGTTTGTGGCATTTTAATTCTTCCTCCTTGGTCCATTGTTTACAGACCAGGTGTGACCCATGCCATGAAGCTGTGGGATGGGCAGATATTGGAGAACTGGAGGAAACACATCTGTACATTGTGTAAGCTGATACAAGACATCCCTCTGTGCTAGCACATTGTACTGTGCCGACATGTTCTGCCTAACTAAAGAGCTCTTGAAGATCCAGAAACCAGAGCCTCCTTGAAGTCCATGCCACCCCAGAGCCTGGGATTTCTCAGAGCACCCTTTCTGTCACTTTCATACTGGCCCAGAATGAGAATAATGGGCTCAAGGATAGCCATAGCTCCTGTCTTCTGCAGGTGATTACTTCGGGCCAGCCCTCAACTAAGAAGGTTACACCTCTTTAATTCTCTTTCTGAGCTGAATGGGCACACTCCCATTTTATAAATGAGGAAGTCAAGGCCCGGAAAAAGTGAGATCTTGATTAAAGTTTTACATTTGGTAAACCATGGCGCTAACTAACATCTGAACCCCAGGCTTGCTTCACCTGCCTTTTGCATTGTGATCATCGTCAGGCTAGTTCCTTCCTGGAGCCCATTCCTTGGGCTCCTCAGCTCTCATCTTCTCAGTTCATTGTTTGCTTTGTTCTTGTCTTTTTCCTTTATGACATAACTAAATAGCAAGGCTTCTGAGATGCTTTCCTGACTGACACTCTGGGGTTACTGACCACGTGTCTCCTGTTTTCAAACACTGGATTGTGTTTTTTAGCTTCCTTAGACAGATTTGAATCATAGCCTCCTGCATCCTCTCCCATCCTTTGCATCCTCTCCCATCCTTCGCATCCTTTTAGTACCAGGCACTGTCTCTAGCCCAGAGTGGGTACTTAACTCTTTCCTTCAGTGTTGAATCATTCATTGTAATATTGGCAGGAAATATGATAACCAGAAGTTCTGACCTCAGTCACTATATCAAGGAAGTTCTTGAACACAGGCTTTGCAGCTATTCATCCTGGCTGGAATCTTCTGGTCTAGGTCTTATCCAAGCATCTACCTCTAGGACTCCATCCTACCCTGCCCTAGACCTTCACCCTCCACACTATTTAATAGATGGCCATAGGGGTTGGCTAGAAGAGAATTAATTTAGTAATGACTGGCTAGAGACAGATTAGACCTGTGCGACAGCCATAGCAAACTCCTAAAAGGACATGCCCCTGCTGAGATATGGCCGGCCCCTGCTGAGATATGGCCGGCCACTGCTGGAGGAAGCACCTTTGTCGATGACCAGAGGCAGTCCTGGAACAAACATTTTAAGGGGCCTCTCTCTCTCCATGATTGCCTCGAACCCACAGATGTGTGGGCTTTCTCGTTGTCTCCAACTCAAGGGCCCTGCCCATGTCAGTGCTGTTACCTGTATCACTTAACTTTAAAGTTCCCACTTTTAGAATTTTCTCCTTGTGTGCACTCCCCACCCCAATTAAATGAAAGAAGCATTTCATTGGAAGTTTTTGTTGGGGATATTTGCCAAATGCACCCAGAATGAAAATGCCAGGACATGATAGGGTGGATCTAAACATCGTGTGAATAAACTTCACCAGTGTTGCTTGAGAGCGTGGGGGTGGGATGGGTGGAGGTGGGGTGGAACAGGCAGTGGAGGAGTGTCCAAGGATGAGGGACAGGAGAGTACTTAGCTCCTGCCCATTGTTTAGACACATGAGCCACGCAGCCAGCCAGAGAATTTAGTTCATATGTGTGAGCACTTGACCCAGGTCCTGGGTATGTGCACACACTCCTGCTGCATTTAAGGAGAGTGTGAGCACTTGACCAAGGTCCTGGGTATGTGCACACACTCCTGCTGCATTTAAGGAGAGTGTGAGCACTTGACCCAGGTCCTGGGTATGTGCACACACTCCTGCTGTATTTAAGGAGAGTATGAGCATTTGACCCAGGTC